GGCTTGTGTTGAAAATTGACTAAATTGTTTATTTTACTTGTTGGGAGTATAAGGATGGACAAATGTGATTTAGCCTAATGGCATGTGGGAGGTAAAAATTTATCTGAAATGTTATATTGTGTGAGTTGAAGCCAATTATAAAATATTTTATATTGAAATTATTGATATAAAAATATGTTAGGTGGCTGTAACCCAACTATGGTTGAGTTAAATTATAAAAAAAATTTGGTATGTTACATTGATTGAGTATTGCCAATCATTTAAAGATACAAGTGTTTGTCAGGAACAATAAACTAGTAGGTGTGTCAGAGATACTGAGTCTCAATAAATAACAAATAGTTCCCAAAGTCTCTTATCATAGTTTACTCAAATATAAGAGATACATAAGACTTGATAGAACAAATGTTTGATTATTATTAAAAAGTTGCAAAACATAAATGGTTACAAGTCTGGAATGAAAATAAAAACTAACTGATAAACCTAAGAACCATGGGTGTAAAATGTGAATCTTTTGAGTGATATCTGTGTCCTCTTCTTCGATTTAGTGCTCTATTTTTAGTGACAAAGTGATGGTAGCTACTTCCTTAGAATCTAAAATGTTCTTACAAATAATCAAAGATTCTACGAAATTCATAGCACGGTCTTTAATCATTATTTTTTATTTTTAGTAACAAGCTTGTTTCACCAGATATTTGGGCATAATGATTATGTTCTTGTGAGATTCGGGATCATTTGAGATCGTATCTTTATGTACAAACTGTCTACAGAGTGGGTTTGCAAGTGAGATCGAGGTTGATCCTTTTATTTAGATTATTAATTGAGCTTGACTCTTTAATTATTTAATTTATGTAACTTTATATCCTATTCAAATGTTTTGACAATTGACATTTCATATTCAATCTAAACAATAAGTAAGTGTGATTATTAAATGTCTAAATTTCATCTCAACTCTTATTAAAATGGAATGATATATAAAATAAAATTTAAATTTCGATCATTTTTTAAGATAAGGTACGAGGCAAGGAATGTCTTGATTTCATCCTGTCCTGTCAACTGCCTTAATTGTAAGGAACATTATATCGTACATGACAGCAATTTTTTATGATGGCAAATTTGCTGATCCTCTAAATGGTTTCATAATTTTCGAGAATGAAATAGAACAAATAAAAAAAGGGCAATTGAAAAGAATCTGAATCAATTGCGCAACTTTGACGTAACGCACCCCTCACGATGCGGGGTTTGGTAGCCCTTGAGCCGCTCTCAATCGATCAGAATTTAAACCGCATAAAGAAACTTTCATTTGCCCTGACATTTCTTTCGATGACATTAAGGATTCATTTCTTGAAGGAACGATCTGAACGAACGAAGGCGACTCCTCTCTCAAGCTTTGCTCTTGAAGAAAAATACTATTCCGGTCCCTGTTATAAAACGTCCTAACAACCTTGTTAGAAATAAGTAAGAATGCCATTGACTCATTTATTTTTATTTAAAAATGAAATGATTTTTTAGTCTAACCCGTACTTAATTTTTGTTATATTTATATTACATTATCTCTCACAATTAATCACTTTAAATAAAAATAATATTAAAAAAATTTAATTAATATCAATTTATAATAAATACGATGACTTTTTTTAAAATAAGTACGAGTATTAAAAGAGTACATCCTTGAGATTTTTTCTTTTAATTTAACGTAGAAGGGGTTATCTAGTCATTGCCTCACTGGGATCAAAGTCAACACTGCTTGATGTTCATGAGTTCATCTATAGCAGCCCGCACATTTAATGCAGATACCCCCCAGTCAAATCTTTAATTAACCACATATACTCCAATGATGATATCTGTATAGTCAGCGGAACATTGATTGATTGTTGATATGAACATGACAGGCGGTGGATTGTGTCACATTTTTGTCATTTTCCTCCTCTCGGGGTTTTAACTTCTTTCAAGGTTCATGTCACGACTCTGCAATGTTCACTCACAGGTACAGCCACGCAACCACAGCCATCGGGAAATCGGTAAACCAATACACACACTCTCTCTCTCAGAAGCAGTGTACACTAGAGCTGTATTTGGAAATGGAATATAAAAGCAATTTGAACGGCTGAGCCCTTTCCGAAGGAACTCAAAAAGAGAGGTTCTTAACTTAAATCTCAGACGACTATAACGTGGCTTCCAGATCAAATTACGAACAAACAGGAATGAAGAACCATGTGGCGTACTAGGTTTCTCCATAGCATCAATTTATTTATTGTAATTTTTTAACGCTAATGTTTCTCAATTGGACCTGCTCCTGCCATCGAAACCGTCCCCGTCTCATTAAATTAAATTAGAATGATTAATAATAATAATAATCCATATATAAAACAATCATAATCAAATTAAGCATCGTGCTGGCGTTTCAAGCGTGAATGTTTTTATGTATTTCCCTTTCCACTGACCTGACTACCACCGTATTATTAAAATAGTCGTGAAATGAAAGTCACCTCACCTGGACGTACAACGTTATCGTGCACGGCGAAGAAAATGCTTGGCCCTGTCGCTATGTTTTTTTGACTATGTCATCACAGTAAACTATATAATTTTTTAAATAAAAAATTATATGTCAATATATTGACATTTGAATGATTTCATGTTCTTCCCGAAAAAAATGGTGCATTAATTCTTGATTCGATCAGGTAGTTTGAACGTGATTTTCGTTTTCGTAGGATATGATAGTCATGGTATACTACACAACCTGTCAAGTGATCGATGGAATAAATAAACAACAAAATATCGTGAATTTATGATGATAAGGCAGTATTGATTAAGCAGCACACTAGAAATTAAATCATAATGCTGTACCCTCGCAGAAAAAAAGAGAGAGAAAACATAATCATAATTTTAATTGATTTTTCCTTCTAGTTCCTGTAGCTTTTTCTACTGTTTTCAGTATTTATAAGGACTAAAAATATTAAAAAATTAAATTATAAGAACCTAAAAGATAAATGTCATCAATTTTTTTAAATTATAAGGATTAAAAATACTTTAAAAAATTTTCAAAAAGAAAAAAAAGGGTAACAAATAATCAAAATAATTGAGAGTTGACACAAGCAAATTAAATGTTCTATTATTCTCGCTCTCTCTTCTTTTTATTTAAATTTCAATCAACCGGGCCAAGGTTGAATTTGACAAGAGGTTTTTCCCCCTTTAAAAAGTCAATTTTATTGATTATGGAAGAAATACTACTCTCACTAATCGTCAGAAAGCAGTAAAATAAAAATGCAAACATAAATACACATATGTTAGTAGACTACAACTTAAACTATCTATCCAAAGACCAAAACTAGAGTAAATAAAAGGAGAAGTGAGAAAGAATTTTTGAAATTATTTTTTTCGACACATACGTATTGATCTTTCCAAACGCTGTGTTCGTCCTCCTTCATATAGCTAGCCTGCGATCATATTGAGCCTTGTTTTTTCAAAAAGTTTACGGAAAGAATTAAATTTGATCCCTCCTCGATGGACAAGTTTGTTCGACCTTTTGAGGTCATAGAAATATATCACATCCATACCGAAGCCCCATTTCGCTTTTCGATATCCTTTAACTTTCACTCTGTATAATTTCAAGAGACCTGATCAAGTTGAGGATTTTGCAACTCATTTTCCTTTTTTTTTAATTGACCCCGAATTTTACACCATATGTCTTCTTCGATGCACTATTATTGCACACTAAGCATGGATTGCTTTCATGTGTCAAGGAATAAAGGAGCTCCATCATGCACCTAAAAGAAGACAAGTGTTTTGAGTTATTGAAAGAACTTTTTTTTTTTTTTGGCCAACAAGTGAAGGAACTTGAATGCACCAATCATCACCAATGGTATGTCCAGTCCAAATTTATTGTTTGACCGAGTAAACCACCATCCCCAATGAATATTATGCTGTCTCCGCTCCAAAATTTAATCTTTCCTTGGCAACGGTAACAATCAACTTTGGAGCTGTTTAAAATTGTTTTTATTTTATTGTTTTGAGAATTGATATTCTGTAAAATATATTTTGAGAATAAAATAATAATAAAATAATTTTTTTTTATTTTCTTTATTCTCCAGAATAATAATCACAGAACACTTAAAAGTTATTTTTATTTTTTTGTTCTCCAGAATAATATTTTGCTTTTTTGTTCTCCAAAATACTTTTTAAAAACACGTTACCAAACGAATTTTTTTGTTCTTTTGTTCTGGGTAACAGAAAACTGTTTTCAGAACAGGTTTCCAACAGACCCTTCATCTCTCCCGTATATTATATATATTACTTGATGTGTATTTTTTAGTTCTACTTATAAATTACTTTTAATATTCTTACTGAAATAAAAAAATTAAAATTTATTAAGTTTATTTAAAAGTTTAATAAAGCTTTTAACTTTACTCCATTTAAGATATATTCTTGTTCTTGAATATAATATTTTAAATTTTAATTCAAGAGTTAAATTGATTAATTTAAAAGTTTAATGAGTTAATCATAGAGTGTAGATTGCCATTTGGGTCTATTAGATTCTATAAAAGTTTAAAATATGGTTCAGGGAGTTATTAGATCATTTTAGCCCAAATTAATAGGTTTAAGTGAAATTGCCTGCTTTGGAGTATCTACCTTAATGAATGGTGATTTACACCTTGTCAAATAAGATGAAATTTTAAATTTCAAGTCTGTAGTTCATAAATACAAATAGAAATAATTTTTGAGGGTTTGTGTGATAGAAGAAAGGAGATTTCTGTTAGGGCTTTATTTTAAAAGTCTCTAAAAGTGATTTGAAATTTAAAAATCATTGGTTATTTATAGAAAATTATTGGGAGTGATTTTCAAAGACGTTCATGAAAACTTCCCTTAACCAAAGTTGATCCTTAGCTTTCAAGGCTAATTTAATTAATGTAGTGCTTGTTTTTTCTTCAATTTTCAAGGTTTGATTAGCAAAAGAGCCGAAGGTTTTTCATGGTTTCAGGCGTCAGCATCCATTGCCATAAATGCAATTAAACTGGCATAGTCCATGTTTATTCAGCTACTGTAAGAATTTACGAAAGAGGAGAGTCCTGACACAAACTAACCCCTTTGTACATCAATATTAAAATTAAAAAAAAAAACGAATGGCATCATCAGCCATTGTCAAAGTAGCCATCACCAACAAGATAGCTAATGATATGAATTGATACTTATTCATGTAATCATAGAATGGGAAATCAACAGCGAGGTTTCTTCGTTGGCACATGAAACACTATTTCTCGTTCATTTTGAGGCTGCAAAGGCCTGGCATTGCGCTCTGCGTGCTGCCATAATTCAATCAAAAACATTAATTAGTGATTACATATATAGTACTTCAACTTCAATACATAATACACTAATTTCATGAGATCAACCTAATTAAAATACTTACATCGTGCACTGCCTCTCTCAGCAACTTCACTTGCTCCCTCGAAATTGTTCTTATCTGATCACGCAACAATCCATTCGTAATTTCAAAATTGCATCAAATTCAAATTGTGCATGCGTTTGATAGATTAAATTGCTTCTATTATGCATTTCTCTTATTTTTATAATATAATCAGGCTTCTTTCCGTTGACATTTTATTAACACATCATCTGATTTGCTCTTACTTTCCGCCAATAAAATTATTATTTGAAGTAATCAACTCCCAGTACAAAATATTTTATACTCTCCATTATTGTATATAATCAATGAAAACAACCTAATAATAAAATTGAATTTAAAGTCAATTATTTGTGTGAATAAGCAAACTGAAAGGTGGAATACCTTATGGTTGATGATCCAAACGACACCTTCAGTGCAGGGAGGAACAGTGAGAGAGCCCATATATCTGTAGTAGCTTCTGCCTTTCAGCCTTATTTCGGAAGGGTGAATCTCTCCTATCTCCTCTTCCTCTATCTCATCCACCATTTCCCTTATGTATTTTTCCAACTGTATCCACACAATCAGTTTATATTTATTTATTATTACACCTTCAGAGAACAACAAAATGATAGTTATCTTTAAACAATAGGAGTTACCTTGGACAGGAACGGATCGGGGCGACCAATCTTGTACAGAAGTCCAACAACCACAACCTCTTCTGGGGTTGAGTTGGTATGATGAACCATGTGAAGCTCCAGGTCATACCTGCAACAACATTATTCAAACAAACAAAACTCTCAATTTCATGAATATATAGAAATTCTCAACCCTCCTAAAGATATGAGCTTGTTGCAGAAAGAGAAGACAGAGACCTCCTGCCGTTGATGGTATGCTCGGAAGGTGAGTGCCAGTGGGCTTGTTGCAGAAAGAAATCAGAGCCATTGATGCATATGGAGCCTGCATCTCCTTCCCATTTCACCTGCACACATATATCGACTCACCCGATTCAGCGCGCGAGATGAAACCCAAAATCACATTCCGCGCAAGAGTGAGATGAATCAGAATGACGTGCCTGAATATCATGGCCTCTGTTCTTGAGCGTAGCATTGTGAGGCTTGTAAGTGTTTTGATGAGCCCTAATCCGGGGATCACTCTCACTCTGCGAGCCGACAAATCAATAGGAGATTGCGATTCTCCGTGCTTGCAAGCAGCCCATTCCTTTTTCAGGTCCCCCCAGTGCTGGGGTCCCTTCTCGCTCCCCTTCATGTAGTCGAACTCTCTCTCATCCTCTGCACAACACACACACTAATTAATCATCACAAGAACAACTCACATAACCCAAACGCCCAAATATTCTGCATACCAACTTCCTGGGCTCTGCTCAACATTGAATGTGCCGAGATGATGATCAGGCCTAATATCAATGTCGTGAGCCTGCTCTGGGACTTCATGCTTCAGGGTTGAAAGAGGATCTACAATCCTGGTTTATATATAGCGACGATGATCTGAGATGCGAGCGCAAGATTAGGAAGGGGGGAGAGACACTTGATTCCAGGGTCGTTCACCTCCCAAGTCAGCACCTTTTCCTTTGTTTTAAATCTCAAATAACCTATGCTCGTCCTTTTTTATTTGGCCCTTATTAGTTGCGATGCAAGTGTGAATTGAGTCGCCTCTGGTGCAGTGGTGCTGACAGGGACACGGGATCGTCTTGGTCCAACGAAGACTACGCACAGTGACACGGACAGCCTGTCTGTCTTTTGCACATCTTATTCCTAGACACCAATCGAAAACGAGTAAACGACAGTATCGGAGCTGGTGACTTACCTTTCCATTTATTACTTGTCATTTTGAATAACGTGAGAAACTTGCACTGATCAGTGAATGAACAAATACAAGAACAAGAAAAGACACCTATAAACTTTCATCAACTTCTACCTCGCCTCTCCGTTTATCTCCCTCGCTTCCGCGCGTCAGAGAGTACAAATGTGGACTGTGTGTTTATATATGTTATGCTTTATTAATATTACTCTGCATTTTATGCTAAATCGGTGCCGAAAGAAAGAAAGAAAGACGGGCTAATATAATTCCTACCGTTATTTCATGACCATTTCAAAAAGGAGAGTAGAAAAATTTAGAAGGTTGTTCATCCAAATCCAAGAAAGCATGATCTTTATCATTTTGAGGATATAATTTATTACTCCCTCCCATTTAAAAATGCCTCAAATCTCACCCCAATAAAATAATTACTTATTTTTAAATTACTATTATCTTTTTTTATATTCACCCTTATTTAATATTCTTTGGTCTTATTTATAAGTCACTTTCAGCATGTTTCATTTGAATTAAAAAAATTTTAAATCTTATTAACTTTGTCTTAAATTTTAATAAGTTTTTACCTTTACCCTTAATAAATATTCTTAAATTTAATCACTATTATTTTATTTAAAATATTTAACAGAGACAAAAAATATAAAGAGGAACATTAAAAATTAACAAATACCCTATAAATATGATTAAATTTTTTCTTCTCTCCCTATCCTATAAATAGGACCAAAGAAGCAAATTATTTTACTATAAAATAATTTATTTATTAGGAGTATTTTTGAAAAAAAGAATCATATCTTAAAATACTAAAAATGCTCTACATTTTTTATCAGAGGGAGTACTCTTGTCCCAAATTGCACTACACTTTTGGGGAGATTCGATATTCTAAAATATAAAACATTTTGACAAAATTAAGATTTTATTAATGATATTTTTTAATATTAACCTTCACATATATTCTTTTTTTTAATATTTATTTACAAATAGAGTATTAAATGGAGGAAATTTTTAAAATTTTGTATTTTTTATTTTAAAAAAATAAGATTGTAAAACATATTTAATGATATTTATTAGTATATGTAATTTTATCTAAAAATGTTTTATAATTTGAGGAGGAGAAAGTAATATTTTTATTAATTTTGAGCTTTCTCCTTGACAGATTGGGCGTTTTTTTTTCTTTAACCTAATGCCATCGCAGAAGACGACACCGAGAATCGTATCTACCCTCCCAACAACCACTTACCGCGTATGGCTGATTGAAGTCTGAATTCAGCTCGTTTTGCATTCCAAAAGGGTTTTAATTAACCACGGGAAAATAATTTCAAATTAGAACAAACATCTGTTCCATGTGACCTAATATAATACTAATACTAATTACAGCTTGGTTGACAAGAAAAGGGAACATGGAGTTTTTCTTTCTTATACGGGTTTGGTAAGTGCGAATTTTCTAATCGTCACACTAACGTTCAACACGATTTTCAACATTAGCCGTTTTAACTCGTGCAACGTAAGTGATAAAATCGAGTCGGATCATATGATCAATGATCCGTTTTCTTTTCCCTGAGCATCCTAGCAAGCCGACTCAATTTTGAGGTGCATGATTTTCTAGATATTTGGGTCCGAAAAAAGACGAAGGTGGTGGAACCCCACACGCCTCCTCCAAGCATCCGACCCACCTGGCTAGGAATTATTGGGAAAGAGGGAGGCAAATGTAACATAAAGTATTATATAGCTACAAATTCTGATCATGAACCATGGTGGTGGGTATAGGTGTTTGTATGACTATTATCATTTTGTTAGTACAGGTGTCATGCTTTAATTCTTTGTCTATAACTATTACACCAGGGAAGCTGAATCTTAATATTGACATGACACCAGATGGACGGGCAGATACGAGACATAGCATCGGAGTTGTATCATGGTTCTGTCATCAAGACGCAGGGAAAATATCAGAATGTTATATTTCCAAAGATTTTTAATCAAACAAATACCAAGCTGATGCCGATCTGGGAGTCCAGTGTTGGAGGTTAAAATAGGTGATGTTTTGGTAAAGTGCATACAAGCAGTAGTATCTGGATTGTCGAAAGAGAGAGGAGATAAGTGAAGCAGCACTAACAAAATGAATAACAGTACCCGCTAATCCACCTAACAATGCAATGCGGCAGATCTGCACTTGAGATATTTCCGGCCATCACCACTTCTATAAATAGAGTCGAGGGTAAATTTTGCTTTGGGCATCACCAAGCTTGAAAATAAAACCATGGAATCGAAGGTCAAGGTGGTGACAGTGACGCTACTGCTAGTGACGAGGGGGGAGTTTGGGTGGGGGATATCAAGAGGAGGATGATGATGATGAGGAATGAGGCTGAATCAGCATCAGATTCAGCAGAAAAGAAATAGGCAGTGAAAGCGTCGAGAGTGATGAAGATATAAATAATCACCATGGTATTCCCAGAGACGACTGGAACAAGGGGCATTATCAACCTGCTCGCCGATCACCTTAGGCTTACTAAATTTGTACTATCAATTTTGTTAGGACTTGCTAGAGACTAGAGCGCGATATTGCACTGTAGATAGTCTTTTCCTGCCCCTCGTAATTGTGTTTTGCCTGTTCATGCTGCTACAACTTTTTATCCATATGGCCATATCGTCTTTAGAGGTCTTCCAACCTATCATCGATAACAATATAAAATACAACAAATGGAGGAAGCCATTCTAGTGCTATTGTATTTCATTACTGGTGCTAGATGAAATATAAACTAAACCTATCAGTAAAATATAAACTATTGTATTTCATTACTAGTGCCAGAAGAAAATCAGACAAATTCTGGGTTTCTTTCTTTCTTTCTTTCTTATTAGAATTTCGGCACTTCGACCCTAGACTTGGTTGTGCCAAAAAAAAAAAGACCCTAGACTTGGATGGAATTTAGTTTCGTCCACTAGAAATTATGCCATGGGCATCTCGCGAGCACATAAATTAGCATCAGGTGCTTCGTCATCCACTAACTCGCGTGATGCCGCATCAACGCGGGAACAAGCAGCTCAGCTTCCATTGGAACAAACATGGCGTCCTTTCTTGCCTGAAAAAATTAGTCACACAAATGAAGTACCCAAAAATTGGAAGGGAGAAAAACCCTCCCATTTAGATCATTGCTCGTGTTCAATATGCCATTTTGGGGAAGTGAGTTTCAGCCCAGCATCCCCACAAAACACCATGCCTTGATGTTGCAAGCAAGATGCCTTAGGCGGAGGAAAAAAGCCCAGCTTTATGCTATAAGATGCTGAGAACAAGGTTCGAATTCAGTGTCCAGAGAATATGAAAGGGAAAAAAATTCCATATTTCTCTTTGCAAGGGTAAAAAACACAAGAAAGCATTTCACATAAGATTCTTAATCTGCAGCAATGCATTTAAGTTACATTTACCACGGCTCTTTTCCAACTTGTTAATTATCCAAAAGAGATAAAATGAGAACGTAGAAGCAGCAGAAAAGAGACAAAAATGTTTTTTTTATTTTTTTTTTTAATTTTTTGGGAAGGTGGGGGGAAAGAGGGAAAGAAGGAAATTAATAATCAATCGTATTCGTACCAACCGAAGTGAAGAGGAGCAAAATTACTTCCTAACTTGTTTCGTATATCCAGTCACTCCCAGTTGCTGAGGTGATGATGCGAGGTCAGGCTAAGCTGTAACCATGTGATTCCCTCTCCCTGCAGCCGCATCAGCCAGTCTCTTCCAATTCAATTCTCTCTGCTCTTCCATCGATTTGGCCTTCGCCTCTTTCTCTGCATATTGCCTCTGGCACTCTTCAAACAATTCGGCATCCATTTCCGTGAACATTTTCCGTACGTTCACAGTCAACCCATGAATCGCCTGGTTCCAATGACTCTGAATATTTTTCTCCAGTGCTTCATATATTATAGGGAATATCACAGCCCGGTTTTGGGCTATCAAGCTAACAATATGCTCATTATTCCATAAAAACAGGGCTCGTTCTGCAACCTGCATCACAAGCGAAGCTTAGCATTGATTTCTAAGGGGAGCATTCGGAAATACTATAGTTGCCAATACCCCAACCAATCGGTCCAGTTCTAACTTCAAATAGATTCACGGCCATCAAGATAAATCCAATACATCAGGATCTTTAAACCAATAAAATTTGACACACATAAACAAGTCACACTCCCACAGAACCAAGTCTGAGGTATCTCCTCTTCTACAGGAGCTCCCCGCCTCCACCTTACAGCGACTGAAACCATATTGGTGAGGGGGAGATGACAAAATCAGTCACACAGAACCCAATCTGAGTCTGAGGTATAAATCCTCTTCTATAGGAGCTCCACCTTACAGCGACTGAAACCATATTGGTGAGGGGGTTGACACGGCCAAGGATTAAATAAAAATTTCCCCAACAATCTCCAAGCAGTGAGGAAAACCATCCATCACTCATATTTTCACCCCATTTTGTTGGGTTTAATTCAAGATCAAACCTAATAACGTGCTAAAGCTCTTGAAACATTCATTAATAGACCGAAACCAGATTTGGTGAAGGTGAAAACACAGGAAGGAGTTTTTTTTTTTCCCCAACTTGAAAAAAACTTCTGCCCTTCAGAATCTTGAAAAAATGCATTTTATTTTTGCCAGGAGGACAACACACACACACACACACACACACGCCACACACACACACACACAAACAGAAAACTGTATTTACAGTGGCAATCAAACAAGAAAAAATGATTTCAATATACTGCTATTAAAAGAACATAAGCTTGATGCAAACACAGTTGATTGTAATTGCCAGAACCTGATTATTCAACTAGAATTTCTGGCCTAAAAAAACAAAGAAAAGTTATTCTACTAGAATAATATATAAGTTAAGGAAAATATAATTTTAGATCCCTGCACTTTACTCGAGTTTTACTATAGGTCCTTGCACCTTTTTTTGATGTTTTAGGTTTCTACACTTTTGTTTTTTGGCATTTAGAGATCTAGAACGCCGAAAAACAAAAGTGCAACTATCTAGAACATCAGGGGAAAAAAAAGTGCAGCGACTTATAGCAAAACTCGAGTAGAGTGTAAAGATCAAAATTATGTTTTCCATTAGTTAACACAAGGATTCACCACACTTCAAACCTGTAAAAAATCAAGCCAATTGCAATGCAGTAGGAGCTACTTTATCTCTTGCTCAAAAGGATATTGGTAGAAATTTGGCCTATTCTACTACGTCAGAATTCATTATAGAGGTTGAACACACACCCCCCCCCCCTGATTTAAGAAATAATTTGCAT